CAGCAGTGGCCACAGGACTGGAAAAGGTCAGTTTTCATTCCAATCCCTAAGAAAGGCAATCCCAAAGAATGCTCAAACTACCGCACAACTGCACTCATCTCACACGCTAGTAAAGTAATGCTCAAAATTCTCCAAGCCAGGCTTCAGCAATATATGAACCATGAACCTCCAGATGTCCAAGCTGGTTTTCAAAAAGCAGAGGAACCAGAGATCAATTTGCCAACATTCGCTAGATCATCGAAAAAGCAAGAGAGTTCCAGAAAAACATCGACTTCTTCTTTATTGACTATGCCAAAGCTTTTGACTATGTGGATCACAATAAACTATTGAAAATTCTGGAAGAGATGGGAATACCAGACCACCTGACCTGCCTCTTGAGATATCTGTTTGAAGGTCAGGAAGCAACAGTTAGAACTGGACATAGAACAACAGACTGGTTCCAAATAGGAAAAGGAGTATGTCAAGGCTGTATATTGTCACCCTGCTTATTTAACTTATATGTAGAATACATCATGAGAAACGCTGGACTGGATGAAGCACAAGCTGGAATCAAGATTGCCGGGAGACATATCAATAACCTCAGATATGCAGATGACACCACCCTTAAGGCAGAAAGTGAAGAAGCCTCTTGATGAAAGTCAAAGAGGAGAGTGAAAAACTTTAGTCACTAAGTCAAGTCTATTCTTTTGTGACCCCATGGACTATAGCCTGCCAGTCTCTTCTGTCCATGAGATTTCCCAGGCTAGACTACTGGAGTGGATTGCTATTTCCATCTCCAGGGGATCCTCCTGACCCAGGGATAGAACTCACATCTCCTTCATTGGCAGATGGATTCTCTACCACTGAGCCATCCGGGAAGCCCTGTGATTATACTGGACTTGTCCAAATCAACCAGGATTATCTCTCCATCTCAAAGACCTTAATTTATGACATCTCCTTTGCCATATAAGATAGCATTTTCACATTTTCCAAGAATTAGCACATGGATATCTTTGAAGACAATTATTCTTCCTAGCACAAGCACCTGCTGAATGCAGGCATTTTTCTGAGGACTGAGACAAAACAAAATCCCTTTCCTGGAAGAGATTACAGTTGAGGAAATACTCAAACAGAGAAGGGAAATACAAAAAATGTGTTCTGTGAGATAAGGACGAACAGTTAACAGCACTATGGGGAGCCAGCCTGAGGTTCAGGGTGAGCTAGAGAGAATTTGGTTAGAAAATTAGAATGATTCTTGATATAGTCATATGACTCTGTTACTTTTCCTGCAGGTTTTGAGACTCTGGGATATTCAGCATCAACTATCCATCCAGAGGATCTCTTGCTTTTTCCCCAAGAGTCAGGACTTCAGGTGTCTCTTCCACTTTGATGAAGCCCACGGACGACTCTTCATCTCGTTTAATAACCAGCTAGCTTTGCTGGCAATGAAAAGTGAAGCCGGCAAGAGGGTGACAAGCCACAAGAAAGCAGTCACTTGTGTCCTTTACAATTCAGTCTTGAAGCAGGTAATGATGCTTTTCTGTCACTCTCCTAACATGTGCCCACATCCATTTCCTTAATTCAATCTGGGGACAAATATAGAAAAGGAAAGGTGGGAAAGAAATGATTTAAGCTCTGTGCTATTCTGCAATAATGTGTATTCAGGTGGATTTGGAGAGTAATTTCATTTTCAACCAGCAACCACAGCAGCGCTGATAGAGTTTCTCGGAGGAAGTATTCCAGCTAAAGCAAACACAACGTGGAATGTAATTGAACTTATCTTTGTTACCAGCTAGTTTGGCTCTTGATACCAAATGCAAGTGAACCTGGCTGTAAAATTCCCCTTTTTACGCACACCATCCCCATCCCCCTGCATCCCTGTGGAAAGATCTGAAATATGCATGAAATGTAATTAGCAAAGATCCATTTTGCCGGCACAGTTTCGGCGAGGGGCTCGCTGTGGCGGCCCGGAATGTATTCATAATAAAATGATTCTGTTAAATGTGCCGCCGCTTGGTATGCAGCTCGAGTGGTGTTTGTCTCCGCACCACGTTAATGACGTTTTGCAGCCTTTGCTTATGGGAGCGCTCCCTGCATGTCAATGAGAAAACTGGAGTGGGGATGCCACAGGGACCACAGCCCTTCTTAGAGGACAGGGAGGGCCAGCCTGTGGGTATCGTGGAGGGAGCGGGTACCCATGGAGCTTAGTCTGTGGCCATAATCACCCCAGGCCTGACAGTCACAGCACAGCAGGAGCCAAGCTGCCAGCCAGTATCCAGCTTGTGGCCTATTAAACAATAACTCCAGCCCATCCTTCTTTCCTTTCTGCAGAAGCTTCTGCATCCACGCAGAAATGAGTAGATCAGATGGTGTGCAACGGGAGGAAGGGCCTTTGTTAGTAATGAGTAGTGTGTCGTGTCACCACTTCAAATACTCTGCTGGTTATTCTAGGAGATAAAAGTCCTTTACAAAACAATCCATTTTGAATTCCATCTGTGGGGGAAACATTCCCTAGTAAATGTTTTACTGAACTTTATGAAGGCAGCCAGTTAATTCGGCTCCCTGGTGGCCACTGAGAGATATATTTGTTTCCAGAAGAATGTTCTGCTAATTGAGATTTGCAGAGTTAAAGTGCTAAGTTTATGTGTAGATGTTATGATCCTATATTGCCTGACCATAAGATGAGCAATTTTCCATGAGGAATTCAGAAATAGGACACAAAGAAGGTCTGTAATCTTCCATTTGGAACATGAAGATAAAGCCAAAATAACACAAGGATATGCAAGTTATAGGCAACAATAGAATATGCACATGTGGAATATTACATGCAAAGAATCTCTGTACAAATGAGTTGGATATTGATGCCTCTTTTATTTCTGAGATCAAAAGTATAAATAATTAAATGCAATGCTAAAGTGTATATGAGCTGTGTATCATATAGAAATGTTTCCTATTATCAGTTAAACTATGGAGAAACACTTTAACATTGTGTAACATTTATAATTGCAAAAAACATATGCTGCAGTAAAATACAAAGGAAACAATGTCACCCACAGACCCATCAGCCAGTGATAACTAATCATTTCAAAGTAGTTAGATAAAACAAATAAAACTGTTTTGAACAAGTGTCAGGTGCCAGGAATGAGAGATCAAAGATTCACATACCACAAAGTTTCTTTGCTCCCTTAGTTCGAGGACATTCAGAGATACAGAGAATCTTCCCAGAGCTCACTGCCGGGCAGGTGCTCATTACCCGACTGTGGGGTGATATCAGGGGACCAGGCACATGACTCACTCACAAAGAAATGACGGAGTAGAGTAAAATGAAGAGAGGGAAAAGCAAAGTGCTATCCTTGGAAAAAGTACCATTCTGCCTGGGGCTGGGTGGGTTGACAGTTTAGCAGAGCCCTGAAATCTCCAGTGGGAACCTCTGAAAGGAGAGAATGAAGTAGCTCCAGAAAGACGGTACAACATGGCCACTTGTTTAAGCACAAACAATGCATTTTTTTTTTTTTTCAGGGAGAGGGTTTATTCTGGTGTGACTAGTTTGTGGGAACTTAGCAAATATTGGGAGATTTGAGACAGTGGAGGGAGCTTAGAGTCAGATTGTGAATGCCATTCACTCAGTGAACCAAGGTCTAGTTTTGGAAAAATATAGACTTGAGGTTAGAACAGCAATTCTCACAGTATGATCTCAGATCTCTAGGGAAGTCATTTCAATTCAGTTCAGTTCAGTTGCTCAGTTGTGTCTGACTCTTTGCGACCCACAAACCCTTTCAAAAGACCAAAACTCTTTTCATCATAATATTAATCCATTGTCCACTTTTCCCACTCTCATTGTTTCATGAGTGTACAGTGGTGTTTCCTAGAGGCTATGTGATGATTGATGGCACAATGTGCTTTTGTATTTTTGTGTTTTAACAATTTCTCAGTTTAAATTTCTAATATGGTAAATGTATGTGTTTACGTGTCTTTGTCTTTATCTCTGTCTCCCACATAAATTGAAGCTATTTGGATTCTTCAATACTTTTTAATAGTGTAAAATCAAAAGACTAAAGTTTTGAGAAAGAAAAGAAAGTTCAAATGTTTGGCAGACTACGTCCTGTGTCTAAGCTTCAGTTGATTGATTTTCAGAAGTGTGTGTGTCTGTGTGTTGGGGAGCAGGCATGGACATGATGATGGTAGCAGTGGCTGTCTCTGCAGCATCACCTTGCTGTGTCCTGCCTCTCAGAGGAAGTTCTCCTTCCTCCCAGGCAGTCAGCCTTAGCAAGTCTCCCCGGTTCCCCCATACCTCTCAGGTTGAAGGGTGATGCTTTTAGTATACCTCTTCCTTATTTACATCTTGATATTTCTTACTCTTTATTTTACCCATGTGACATATGAAGGCAGAAGTTGGAAAGAGTTAGAAAGGCAGAAGGACCCCTGAATAGGACTTTGTCTCTGGCCACATGAGATGAGGAAGTGGTTTTTTCCTGCCCCTCCTTTTCTCTGCCACTGCAGTTCCTGCTGGTTAACATTTAGTTCTGGGGTTCCCCTCTGTTCCTCTCTCCCTCTGATGTCTCCAGGAACATCTTCTGACACACCTCTCTCCCCTCTTTTCGCATCAGTTGCATTTCTAGTTGTTATCCAGATAAACACTTACCTAAATTCTTACTTTCTCCTCTCCCATGTTTGATAGAAGGGAAAGATTCTTGTTTTCCACTTTCGTATTTTCCTGTAACCCCCAACACCCTTCCAAACAGCAACGAATGCTCGATTCTAGATTTAGTTGATTGTTGCTATTTCTCAATCTAAGTTCAAAAGGAACACATGCTTTTTCAGCCCGCTGCTGCTCTTAGGTTATTTGGTTTGGTGTGTTTTTGAAAGACTTTCCCTTTATCTGAATCAAAGGAAAACATGACAACATGTTGTCATTTCAACACATTGCTACACTTTAGTATTATTTCATTCTATTTGGTCATCAATGAGAACTTCCCATTATTCCTATATGAAAGTGACTTGGCATATTTCTGTGACTCATCTTCCTGCCTTTTGGTACCTTCACATCTTAATCTAAAAAAGTGATGTTAAGCCACGCAGAAACTTTGAAAATGAACTGTGAGCTTTATTTCATTCAGCAAAGCTTACCCTCTCAGCTAGTGGCAGACAAGTCAGGACAGGATGAGGGAGTCCTTGGAATGCACAATTTTGAAAGAATCAAAGTCACATAATATCCTGGAGGTAGTTCTAATGAACTGTCTTTGCATAGAATTCTTAAGTGAAGCTTTTCTTAAAAACCCATGATTATTGGGGAACTTTAAAAATGTGTTTGTAGATATCATATAAACTAAAAAAGAAAAAGTTTCTGACTTACCCTAATGATGTGCTTTCGTAAAACAGATGATGTTTCAGTGCGTTTTGCATCTAGACATAGTTAGGCTAAATGTAAATAGGCATTATCAAATCTTGACAATGATATTCACTATTTTTCCCATTGAAATAATTTACTTTTTGTAAAACAATACTTGCTTATTACAAGAAATTAAAATAATGCTGTAAAGTTCAAATAAGGAACTAAATATTGCTGAAATATCATCAACATGTTCTAAATACCTCTCTGGGCATAGACTGTTTCACCTTAATATGGTTCTATAACCTACATTTTACTCTATAACATATTGGAATTAATTCCTTGTTTCTAATGTAGATCTCCTTCATCATTTTTAAAAAGCAGCACAGAGTCCCACTGTATGTGTGTATCATAATTTACTGATCCATTTGCCTTGATGAGCATTTTGCTATTATGAATTTCTTTATGCATAAATATATTCACCCTCATGACTTTATCTCTCTAAGGCAAAATCTTAAGAATGAATTTCAAAGTTAAAATATATGTATATGAGATAATTTGGTACACAAATTGCCTCCTGAATCTTACTATGTTACCCAAACTTTAAGAGTAAACACATTAATCACATAAAGAGACATGTCAGACAGCGACTGCCTGGCAGCCTCTGGCAGGACTCTTGAGATCTCTGACAGTGTTCCTGTAATTCACCATGGGATGTTGTCTTTGAAAATTTGAAGATTAGGCCTTCTTTACTTTACCCAGAGTAGTGTTTATTTCTTGAGGACCAACTCTTATACAAGAAACATTATGTCAATCATTCATTTAAAATGGGGCTGGAGTATAATTTTTTTAGTGACCGTCCATATCCTGTCCTCTTTTCTGCACACGATTTTGGGGGAATTGTGATGTTTGAGAGTCTAACCAATTCAATACGTAGTTCCTTTGGGAATTGTAAAATCTGAGTAGAGGGAAGTGGACAAGCTTAAGGGAAATTTATCTCCACTTTACAAGACATTATGCCTCTTTAGTGCTTGTATTTAGGGCAAAATCAATGAGCTTCTCCTTTTAACAGAAGTAGATGAACATTGATGAAAACTTTCTCCTTGCCTGCTTACTGCTGGGCTCCAAGTGACTTGTGTTAATGTGGCTTTTCTTCACTGGTCAGATTAAGGCTGTACTTGGTTACATATCAATACT